AAAGCCTTATGGATTTTGGGGGGGGGGACAGATTACAAGGTTCTCGGGGGAGACCGAGGGGGTTTAGTCGTCGTCAATTAACTGCCAGAGAAAGCGGGGGGCAGGGAGCAGAATCATGAGAATATTACAAAGCCTTATGGATTTTGGGGGGGGGGACAGATTACAAGGTTCTCGGGGGAGACCGAGGGGGTTTAGTCGTCGTCAATTAACTGCCAGAGAAGGCGGGGGGCAGGGAGCAGAATCATGAGAATATTACAGAGCCTTATGGGAGGATCAGGTCAATTTTATCTTAGCACAATCAAAATCATCCAACCCTCTAGGTGATAAAATATATAATAGACGGTCTTCAATGATATGCTCTTTCACAGAAGGTACAAACAGTTTTTTTCTTAACAAACACTTCTTACTTCCAGTGACGCTTTCATGAATCAGTACTTTGTGATTAGACCATGCCTTTCATTTTTTATCGTTTGGGGGAGGAGATAGGGCTTTTTGGGGGGGATTACTGAGGGGACGGAGGGGGTTTAGTCATCGCCAGTTAAGAATGATAAGAATACTACTACAGAGCCTTAGGAGGGGATCAGGTAAATTTTATCTTGACACAACCAAAATCATCCGACCCTCAGGCGATAGTTGAAGTTCATTTATTTGTTTAAGCAGGTTGATTAACTGGCGATAAAACATTTAATGAACGGTTTTCAATGATGTTCGGTATAAAGCGTAGTATCCCTGAACACAATTGGACTGCCTTACAAAAATAAGCACGCTAGGGGTTGTAGGGGGTAAAATTTTAGGGGAAGGTTTTTGAGTGTATCCCTGTACATATATATTGATGTGATTCTGTTGTAGTATACCAAATCACGCATTTTGAGCATCCACTCTGTCCGTTGGCGACGCCCATGTAACTAAGAAAAAGATTCATTAAAATGATTGATTATCATGTACAGTATGTATGTATAAGATTGGATAAAACTTGGGAAGGAGGCGATAATATTTTAAAAAGAGACGAAATGAGCTATCATTAACATCACACATTGATTAAAACTCGGTATATGTTAAATCTGAGCCGAAGCTGAATAGAGCAAATACTTGAAATATTGTGGTGATGTGCCAAAAGAACTACAGGTAGGTCACCATTTTTCATAACTTCATTTGCCTCTGAGCAATGTCTCGTGCAAAACTGACCGCTTGCAAAACGCGGTGGACTGGAAACAACTAGCATAGTATAATATGGAAGGTTATACTTGGAAAAAAAAATCATAAGAGGCGGCAATATTCCTCAGGAGAGAGCTATATTCAATTATGCGGGCGGTTAAAGCATTACGATGCGCTAAAAAATTCAAAACCTTATGCCGCATTCACACCAAAGCTTAAACATGTTAATAACCTGTTATTAAACACACATTGAAGATACTAGTTGTGGGGGCTACTCGAATCCTATGGAAAACCCCAGTTTTTCAGTTCTCTGTTTCTGATTCTCTTTCAGTTGAACCTGGTTTAACTATACATTTTTTGCTGATGTCAATGGGGTATTATTTGCGTGAAGCGCAAAGGAATCCATGTGCAAATGATGGAGGGAACGAAATTTCTTTCATATTTACGCAAACTGCGCTATAAAATGTTCACAGTTTCTTTTTCGTAGTTTACTTGTGACGAGGTACGGCGACCTTCTCCCTTTCTCCATTACTCTGTCGTCTCTCTTTAGATCCATTTTTTTTCTCTTTGGACTCCTCTTTAGTCACTGTTTCTTCAAAGGGAATCTCGGCTTTCTCACCGGTTTCCTTCTCAATTTTTCGTAGCTTTTTGATGAATATAGCTTCCAGGCTATAAAGAAGTTTCTTTTTCCAAGCAATTGTCTCCTGCTTGATCCTATCACGAGTAGTCAAGATTTTCTGGCTCAATTCCGCAACGGTTTGTTTTTTGCGCGGTAGCGGGGTTTTTTTCCCCTCAGATTCAACGATAGGTAACGGGCTGGGAACTTCTGATGTCATATTTTGTGATGACGATACATGACAATAGTTCATATCGCACGGAGGACTGCCATTATTCATCTTGACCCCGCATAAACTGCTCGACTCCACATTGTAAAGAAAGGCAACATTACCGTCCTTTGGGGAAGGTTCAAACCGAGAGTCGTCGATCTTGCTCTCCTCTCGGAGACTACTACTGCCAATTGTATGGCTCGACGCAGGGTTCCTTTGAATGGGATCCTTCAATGACTGAGTGTCCTCATAATCATTGCATATTTCAGAGGTGAGTTTTTTAAGAAGATCGTTCCAATATTTCTTACTATTCTCAGAAAATATCTTGGGATCGTCTTTCCCAGGCGTATCATCTCGATTGGCAATAGAATGTACGGCCACAATTTTAGGAAGAAAACTATGGTCTATCGCATAACCACCACAACTATCGCGCATGCCCTCAGGTTCCTCTTCAGCAGAAGGAGGTGGTACTGCTTGTGACATAGGAGATTGGCACTTCGACCCCTTCTTTCCCACAACAATGGAAATTTTGTTTTCCTGGCTATTGGTTGCTTTTGTTTTAAAAGCATGGCACTTGGCTTGCTCACGTTTGGTCGTGGATAATCTAAAAGTTGCTGACTGTCTCGTTTCTTGTTTTGGGCCGTTCTTTCCAAATTCCATTATTTCTCTTTGGTCTACAGAGCAGTCAAAGTTTTCTGCGTTTCGATTTTTTTCAGGAGCTTTGGAATCCCACCTGCTTTTTTCTTTCGTTACCTCTTTGATTTGTTCTTTCCTATGTGAATTTTGGACTTCATTTGGATTATTTTCAAACTGTAGGTCATCCTGCCTCTGTTTTCCACCAAACGGGAAACTCTTTGTTGGGTAAAGTTCCTCTGCAGATTTGGTCCTGCGTTTCAGCAAGTCATTAAGGCTCGTAACAAACCTTGAAGAATTATAGCATGGTGTTGACGGACTTCTTTTTTGCCCTCGACGTGAGACACTGACGTTAGGTGTCTGGTCATTTAAAACAAAGAGGGATTTCTGACAGTTGTCTCTAGATGCCTCGTGATAATGCGTCGGTGAGCCTCTCTGCAGCAGACCATGATCATTGCTGTAGTCACGAGAAGATGTGAGCCTGGCATCTGTGTTTACATCTAGAGGTTCTCTGACGTGCATTTCTAGCTTAGTATGACCTGATACTGTAAATTTCCTTCTCATTTGGTGTCCATTTACAAAAGGTCTCGTGTTTGTGGTTGAGTGATTGTCAGACACAGCTGATCGATATCGGCTGTTGTCCAGTGCGACCGTTTCATTGTTGTTCATGTCAGCACAGGATTGTTCATAAAACACTTCATCATTCGGATCTTCCACATTGCCATTAAACTTAGGTACATCACCTGGCATGATTACGCTCTGACGAGACTGGCTCTTGGTGGGACCGAAAGTCAGACTTCCATCGTAGATACGAGTTTTATCCTTAATACCTCGAGTGCGAGGTCTCCCACGACGTAGTTGTGGAATGTTTGACTCTGGAAATCTTGAGTATGAAGCTTCCGACTTGTTGGAGGCATCTTCGAACTTCTGATGGCTTTCTACTCTCGATATAGGGTAAAATCGAGCTATTTTATTTCCAGCCTTAGTTGCAAACTTTTGAACTCGTTTTGATTGTTTGAAAAACTCTGCGTCTGGGTGATCATTGAATTCTTGATTTTTGGGATTGCTGCTTTCGTCGCAATTACAGTTCCTCGTTTTGTTCACTTGGGGTTCTACCTTTTGACCTGAGGACTTTGAATTGGTGGTTTGATGATGCCTAATTACAGATTTTCGCCACGTCGCTTTCATTGGTATGCGTTCAACGGGTTGTTTGCAACAATGATCGACTGATGGATGATGCTTACGTTCTAAATTTCCATCAAAATGGTGAGGTTGATAGGTTTGGGCGCATTCGCATGCAACAAAAAGTCGCCCTCGATATTTTGCAAGCGATTTTTTTTTATGGTTCTGTTGTAGTTCTCCATGTCGTGCGCGATTGAAGTGTAGGATGTCATCGCCAGCTTCAGTGAAAAGAAAGTGCCTCACAGTCTCATTTGACCTCATCTTGCTTTCAGTACACAAATCACGGATTTCAGAGTACTTTATCTTTGTCTGGTGTGATGGCAGGAATTCGTCCTTCGGGTTTTCATGATGCACCGAAGTATGACATTGCATACATCCAATCTCCTCGTCCTCGAATTTCCCACAAGTCGTGTTGCTTTTCGGGCCATGGGGACTGTCTGTGTTGAATTTGGAAAGCGTAGAATTTTTCGTGGGGGAGCTAAGCGGACCAATTGTACACAATGTAGACGAAGAATCTCTCAACACAGGAGAGTGTGTTCCAGGACAACCATTTCTATCTTTGAGGCTCACGTGTCTTTGGACTGGTTTGACATTTCTGGAAGCAATAACTGAAGGACTTCTCGAGTGCAATGCTCTTCGTGTTTCAGGCATAGAACGTGCCTCTGATGTCTTCTGATGGATGACTGTCGGAGAGATTTTCACGAGAGGTGGTGGAGAGTCTGGGGGTCTGCGTGTCTGTGAAGATTTCACGGACAATTCTTTCTGCCCCGGCGAGTTTTGTGCTCTCGCATTTGTCACATGACTGGGAATTCCAGTCTCGATCGGAATCAGCTGCCTTCCTCCTTCGAGACGTGGTCGTTTAGCAGAAGCAGAGCAGCCACACGGGCTGAGATGATCCCAGCAACTACACACACTCGCATGGCAAGGCGATGGACGCTGGTGGCATCCCGTTTGAACCCGAATTTGGCTTGTGTCCACTGGCACAAAGACTGGTTGCACAACGGGCCAGTTAGTATCGGTGAGAGCACTGCGAAAGCAAGGACGAAGAGGTCTGGGCTGGATACAGTGTGAATGAATAGATGAATTGGTCAGCGGTAGGAGATCGTCATTAAATGGTGATGACCCACAGGCGAGTCCTCCAGTAGAGGAAAGATTAGGAAGGTGCATTCTTGCAACGTGCTGTGGAATGCCTGCAAAAAAAAAAACAAAAAAAAATTGAAGACATTTTCAGACACCTACATTAAGTGGATAATTTTCCTTCAAATGAATAAAGAGGGTAAGTTTATAAAGAAACTGTGGTGGTGCGTAATTTGGTTTCATGAACTGAGTTGATAATATATATCGATAATATATATAATATATAATAATATTTATTAAAAACTAGATCATTGGATAATGCAATTCAAGACTTTTTATTGGGTTAGCCATTATGGTATATCAGCCAATATACCATAATCTACAAATATAGCAAGCGTACGTGTCAGCTTAAAATTAAAAGGGAGCTAAAAATTTAATAAAATTTAATAACTTAATTTAACGTTTTTAATAAAACAATTATTCCACTCGCTCTTGTTGGATATGAGATGATTATAGCCAACTCGGCGCTACGCACCTCGTTGGCTATCTATCATCTCATATCCAACGCGCGCTCGTGGAATAATTGTTAA